TCCTAGGATTCAGTGCCAAGAACTTTGTAGTTATGGGTTTTGATTTGCATCCTATGGTCACAGACAAATTAATTCACTTCTCTAAGCCTACATTTCTTAAGCTTATACATGGAGATGGATCTTTTTATCTATAGTGTTATGTGTGTATAGAGCCCTTATGAAGCATGTACTCATCACTGCTCTCCTGCAGGAGCTCTACAATGCTTGCCACCACTCTCCACCCCAACCTCGCAGGTATCTGCTCTCCCTTGCTGTACCTACCCTAACCTACTCTAAGCCAGAGCTGGGTTCACTGGAGCCTCCTCTCAGGAAACATACATGGCATGTATGTATAAACACAATGAAAGGATAAGCGAAATTGGTAGGGGAACAAAGAGGACAAGTGCTAAAAAGGAAAAACAAGAAAAGGGAGGATTGGGGAACTGGGGTGGGGAAATACGCCCAACATACGGTATATACGTATATGAAAATTTAACAGGAAATAAGTTGAAATTTTAAAGTAAATGCAAATAATCTGACATTTAATTGATAGAGTTATTCTGTCAGTTTACATAGATAGGCAAGGTCTACGTGCATAGATATACATACACACAGGAAGGAATAGATACAAACACTAAATGATGTGCAAAAGGCAAATGTCTAGTTGAACTAGAAATATTGCTACCTTGTTACCTAAGCTTTTCAAATCCAAATAGTTATTTGTCCCTCCCCCCACAAAAAGTAATATGTGTGGCTGCCTCACCTTTTGATGGCCTCCTTGTTGGTCAGAGTGGGACATGGGAAGGTTTGTTCCAGTCATCTCATGGCATCTGACCATAGACAGAGTAGAAGCATCTGTATTACCAGGTTCCCCTCAGCACACCTGAACCCCAGGAATCAGACACCTTATTGCCTTCCTGAGCATGCATCTGACCCCACTCAAAAGGCAAGCCATGGATCATCTAGCTTTTCATCCTCTTCATGGAGCTGAGAGTTGGGAATGAAATCTGGGTGACTGACTGACTAAAAACTGTAAGTTTGCAGAGCCTTGGGCTTGTCACCCCCAAGTTCTAAAAGCATCTATGGCTTTCCAGTTAAGATCTGATTTTCTTTTTCTGGTGTTCAAGACCTAAATCTACTCTGCAATCAAGATATTTTTCTTCCTTTCATTTACTTAGCAAATATTGACTAGTACTTTCTCTGGGGAAGACACCAAGCCAAGCAGTAGGAAATGCATTAACAGAGAAGCCAGGCAGGCTAGTAGAGGGCACAAACAACTGAACACTAAAGTGTGCAGAAGATTGCAACAGGGAGAGTCGAAGGTCAGGAGCAGGGGTGGCAAGCATCTCAGTGGGGTGAAATCCAGGCTGGCAGTATCAGGGAGGCCTTCCTACAGGAAGTGGCATGGGGTTAAGCCCCAAGGATGAGATGGAACCACCAAGACATACTGGGTGGTAGTGAAAAGAACAGTACTCCAGGGAGAAGGAACAGCATGTGTGAAAGCTCAGAGGCAAAACTTCTGTGGTGCTCCAGGAATGCCCACTGGGCAGATTGACTGCAAGAAGTTGGGTGTATCTGTACACACTTGGAGAGCAGTGACTAGTCAATGGAAGTGAGAGCAATGCCTGTCAGGTCCCTACAAGTCTCTGCAGACTTGATCAGAAGTTAAAGGTAGCACAAGACTTAAGGGTGGGATAGACAGATTGCTGAGACCAGTAGGGGCATGGAGCATTAAGACAGAGTGTTCTTCCCTTTCTCACGTATGCTCATACCCCTATCTGTCCTTTGAAATCTCCCAGGACTCCTCAAAGCCATTCCCAGTCCCTCCTGTTGACATGAGCCCCAGCCCTCCTTCCCTTGTGTCAGACTGGCATGCCGTTCTGCCACATCCCACCTCTGCCTTGCTTAAAGCCCCACGTGTATTCTCGTCTTCCCTACCCTCCCACAGCTCTTCAGTGCTTAGTCTCTCATCATACCTACCCCTGATCTTCCAGCCTAACGAGTGGACATTTAGGAAATGTCTGTGGGATAAAGCAATGTTCACCATACATTCGCAACCATCCCCTGTTCTAGTAAAGAAAACAGAAGACACAGTTAATGCCCTTTACTGTGTTTGGACACACATGCATGGCAACATCTACCATTGATAAGGTGTTTGCTGGTTGTCAAAACTCTTCTTACATGTGACTTCTTTTAGTTCCTTTAACCTGCAGAGCAACCCCTCCCCAAAAGGAGTATGTACTCTGTTCCTCTCTAACTCCATTACAGAGATGGGTCAAGTGAGGCAAGGAGGGGTATTGCTCAAGGTTGCTGTGCAAGCAAACAGTAGACCTGGGCTTCAAGTGCAGGCAGTCTGACTCCAGAGCGCCTGCTTCCAGGTGATGTTCCCCTCCCTGCTTCTGCACACACTGAATTGGCACAGCAGTGCATTTCCATACAGGCACTCCTACATCACATATGTCATAAAACACATAGTACATAGAAACCTAAAAATCACACTTAAATAATAAATCCTAAGATTTTCTTGCATCCTGGGAAGTTTTGTGTCCCTGCCTTGTAAATCATCAAGGTTAACAGCAGTGAATGAGCAGAAGGAGCGAACACATTTCCAGCAAAGAAACATCTCTAAACTGCTACAGCCCAGCACTGTGTTAGGGAATTCAGATGTTAGCAATGAGCATTCAGAGTGACCCTGGAATTCAAGAAGAAGTCACAGACTAGAAGGAAGGAAGAGGCAGGAAACTTTGAGGGAGGAGCAGGGTTAGACTCAATCCTGGGTCCCCAAGTTTGTGATGGAAAACTTACTTAGTTCTGTAACTATGCATTTAGTAAAACCTGACAGAATTACTAAGGAAGAGGCTGTCATAAGTACCCTGGAACTATATATATATATATATATGATCATGTTTCTTAGCTTTGATCTGAAATTCTAACATCTCAACATGGTATGGTATGGTCACTGTAATCTCAAGGTCTGATTGGAGATTCAGCTATGTCTTTGATTAATAAAAGATAAGGAAATAAGTATATATTTGCTTAGTAAATGTAGCCCGGTAGAGAAAAATCTGTCTAGGGGACAGGGAATCCTGAGCAGGGTTCTTGGTAGGCTGATTCTGTTCAGGTTCCTAACATTTGATGAGCACTGAGCCAAGGCTCCTACATACTCATGCAGTACTCATGAGTACTCATGGGTACTCACACAGAGAATTTCTAGTGCACACAGCAATTATACAAAAGTCGGGGTGCAGAGGGAGTAGAGAACTTAACAAATGGGGAGCTGGAAGTCATTTTCCCCAAATCATATAACTAATAGAATGCTAGGCTATGGTGGAAACCTCAGCTCTGTTAAACTGCAAAGCCCAGTCCAAGAGTAAACCACACGTACACACAGGATGTGCTGTATACTTTAATGTCAGAGATGAATAAAGACATTTGCAAATATAGCAGAAACAGACAGCAGGGGACAAGACTGGTTCAGAGAAAGGTGTGCTTAGCCCTGTTATGCCTGCTGGTAAGTGGTATCAGGGAAAGCTCCCATAGTAAATCAGGAATACTAGTTTGGACGGGTGAATCATAGCCCAAAGCATTTGGTAAAGAAACCTAGATCCAGAAGAAGAAGCTACCCAAAGAATGTGTTTTGATCATTGATCCATGATACCTCTATGTCCTTGCAGAATTCTGAAGGGGACCAGCCAAATGGCATACAAAGCAATCTATAAAACGTCATGCACAATTAAGCTTAGGGATTGACATTAGAGTCATGGAACCTGTAAGATACTGAGGCTTAGTGCTGTGAACTGAGAGGGCTTCTGTTAGGTGTCCCAGCAATAAGTCTGCATTCTACTCTCTTAAAATCCTGCTAAATGTTATGATGGCCCATCGGGGCTGTTTAATGTTTGTAAGGTTCAGTCCATTTGCAAAGCTGGTCAGATATGATCGTGTCACACACTTCTGCCAGTCAAGGCGGGAGACAGTAAGTAGCCCTTGCCAACAAATGATACACTGTGTTGTACTGTATACTTTTATATGTCTGTGCTTATGTCCCCTTTTATACACGATATACTGCACGTGTGGAAAGGTCATCCACAGACAAGTCTGTGAATTGTCTGAGTGCAGAGGTCTTGTCCCCAAGCTGTCACCTCTTCCTTCTGAAGAGTTGGTACTTCGTTCATAGAGCTATCAAAAGTTGGAACCTTAGAATTAATAGGACCTCAGAGTCAGACATGCATTTTGGAATTCATAGGATGTGAGTATCCTCATATTAAAGGATGTCATTTTCAGCTATCAGAACTCAGTGATCCTAGTACATCAGATTTCTGGGATTAATCTACACAACAAATATCTTTCATGCCTAGTGTGAGCCTAGCTCTATGCTGTGTTCTGAGGATAAAGGAGTGAACGGGACTGCTCAAACTCTTGCTCTCAAGAAGTTTGCAGAAAACGTCAGAATTTAAGAATTGTAAAATGGTAAATTCTCAGAAAAGTAAAGCACAGCGCCTTGAAATCCTACACTGCCACAGGTGAAGGAGAGCCTTAGATCATTGTTTCCAGCTCTCTCGACCTTTTATGAGGTCCGGGATTTGTTGCAGGCATGTCGGATTACAATCTCACTAATAAGAACATCATTTCAGTTCAGTAATCACAGAATGTCTGGGATGTAGTGCTCAGCCCTCTTCACCCTACCCAGGCTGCTCTTTTACTGCAGAGAGGGACTTCAGCGCCTTGATCTCTAACGCTCAGTCAGCAATAGAGACCCCTCACGCCTCCCCCACCCCTACCCCAGGTTTCCAAAGAGAAAAGCAAACCAGGAGAGACACCCGACTCTTCAGAAGCAGTTCACACAACTTTCTCTGTGGAGGGACAGCCCCACTCCCGGCCACGCGTGCAGTAAATCGCGCAACGTTCCAGCCCCCTCCCCTGTCGGTGCGTGTTTTATTTTGCTGCCTCCCCTTCCTCGTGTGCCTTGAAATGGATTTTCATTATTTTTTTTTTCTGTCTGTGTTTGTCTTTGTGGTCCACAGGTGCTCCCTTGCATTGTTCATCTGCTTCATCAACCCCTATTGAGCAGTCCCCCTCCCCGCCCCCCTCCCCTCCGGCCAATGAGAGCCAGAGGCGGTTGCTAGGCAACGGTGTGGCCCAGCCAACCCCGGACTCAGACTCTGAGGAAGAGTTTGTCCCTAATTCATTCTTAGTTAAAAGTGGCTCCGCCAGTCTGGGGGTCGCAGCGAACGGTAAGTGCCTCTCTCTCTCTCTCTTGCTAACTTTTTATGGGTTTTGTTTTTTTAATTCTTTTTCTGGGCAATGCCAGCACGGGTCGTTTGCAGGGCGGAGGGGCCTGGTGCATGTGGGGCTCACGGACAGGAGGGGACCTGAGTGACTCCGTGAGCTTGGGGCAGTCAGCTCCTGCTTCAGCCCCAGGGAGGAGGCTCCGATGACTGCTGCTTGTCCCCGTGACACATGCACGAGACAGAGGTGTAATGACAGGCAGCAGGAGACCAAGGCAGGTCAAAGTACACAGACAAAGACCCCCATGGGAGACGGGAAAAATTGCACTGATTGATGTGTCGCCGTGTGCGCCAGGCACTGTCGCCTGCTACTTGGTTAGATCTTCCTCACAACTTTACCAAGAGCATAGTTTTACTGTGCTCCTATCAGCAATAGAAAACAGAGGTGGTGTCTGAAGTCCAGGGATGGTTTTGAACATTCCCTGCCCAAGAGTCCCAGGCAGCTGCTGAATCTGAATGTAGACAGAGCTGCTGGGTCTCAGCACGATCTGCCCAGGGTATCCTCTTTTTCTCCGCTGCCCCCTGCTGAACCCTTCTCCTAGGAGGTTTAGCCCCTGAGATGGTGCTATTACACTTGCCCCAAGATGATTGCCCTATTTTGTGCTCAGCAGAGGCCAGGACATTTCTCCATAAGGATGTGCTGCAGTGGGCACAGGGGGGTAAGGAGTGTACGAAGTAACTCGGGATCACCATAATGACCCCAAGAAGAAAAAAAATGGGACTTTTCCCATGAATACCCCTGGAGGTTGTGTTGATTTGGCAGATGTTTATTTATAAGTTCCAGTATGGGCTGGAAAGAGCACATACTGCCCTTCCACAGGACCAGAGTTCATTTCTCAAAACCCATGTTAGGCAGCTCACAACTGCCTAGGACTCCCATCCAAGGGTATCCAACGCCTCTGGCCACCGAGGGCACCTGCACACATGTGCTCATATTTGCATACTGACATTCACATAAAATCTAGTAAATGCCTGTATGGAACTGAATTTCAGGTCAGATGCTGGAAACAGAGGCTGAGATAGAGAAGCATGAGGCAGGGTCAGTGGGCCCTGGAACCAGACAGCTCCACATACAAACAAAGCTCTATTGCAAGTATCACTGCCTCACCAAGCTTGTTTCTTCATGCATAAAAGCAGGCAGTGTGGCACCCAGGTTAGGATGGGCACCGTGACCTGGTCTTGGACAGAGAAAAGGTTTAATAGATGTTAACGCTTGCCCATCACCTGCCACCTCCTTTAGAGGACATACAGAGAGGCTCTGTGAAGGTTCCCAGCACACTGTGGAGCACTCAACACGCTGGAAGAAATACCAGAGGCCCTCTTTTCTCTCAGGAATAGACGAAACAGCTGAAGGCGATAAAAGAGGATGGAGCCTAGCTTGCTGGTGACAGAGTGAGTGAGAGGAAGCCTCCACATTGCCGAAGAAAACTAGGAAAACTAAAGCGACTGTAGGAGATGCTGCCTGGGTGAAAAAAAAATGGGTCTGGTTGGCCAGGCACTGAAATGAGGACTATTCTGGGCAGAGGGAAAACATGGACATAGAACCCTGGTTAGGAGCTGGGGGTGCTGCTCTAACATCTTTAAACCTAGGAACCTGGGCACAAAACAGACATCCGCCTAGAAGGATGTAGAAGGTCTCTTGATAGGAGCTGAGTAGAGTACAGACATAGAAGCCCTGTGTTCTCTATGACCAAAACCTGCCTGCCCCCGGGGCCCATATCCTTTGTGCTCCCTCGGGATCAGAGCATCTTTAAAGAGGACAGAAACAGGAACCCTGGACCAGGAGTGAAGAGACCTGAGTTCCAAATAGCCAGTGTGGTGCACTGGCTATTTGTCCTGAGCAAATCACCGTTCCACTTCAGGTAGGCTATCTTGCCAGTGATGGAGCAGTTTCTAAAGTACTTGGATTTTATGAATGTCATGTGGTAGTGATCATGCCCCTGCCAATCATCATCGTGAGCCTAATGGAAAAAGAAATATGTATACTATATGTATATCTGTGTGTAGTAATATATAATTATATGTAAGATAAATAGGTAATGTTCTTTGTTATTAAGCCTTGCAGATGGGAAAAAAAAAAAGCCACAAGAGATGAAAGTCCTTAATCTCTCCCCCTTGCTAATAACTGACCTGGTGCAATGGCTTTGTTGCATGTTCTGAGGCGGGCTGAGACGGTATTATGTTGTTGATGTGAAGGGACAACAGGAGGCCTTTGGCCTACAGCTGTCTGCTCAGTTCTACTCTGGATCCCCAGGGGCCTTGACACACTATGGATTTCTTCCCTGGGGATTGCTCTGAAATGCCTCTCTAAACATCATTAGTAAATGTGTCCTCTGCCTGAAGGGAGAGGCTGGGTCTTGCTTGGCTGCTGTTCTGGGGTAAAGTTCACGAAAGCCCATGGCTGAGCCCTGCCTGCGGTCTTCCTGTACCCCGAAGCCCCATGAGGGAGTGTCTTCTGTGCACGAGAGGACCCTCTAGTACTCGCAAATGACAATAAGCAGGCTCTATTGCATTGTGGTAAATGTTTATAAGGTTTTATTTGATTATTTATAAGGGAAAAGGTGAATAGATTTTAATGAAATGATCTTTATTATTTTTTGCTAATCATAACAGTAAGGTTGCTTGTTAACATTCCGCCAATCCACAAAGGTAAAAGATGACATTCTCATGCAATCCTTATTGAAGAAACAACCACTCTTAGCAGTGTGGTCTGTGGTCTTACAAATACTCTATTTGGTGTTAAACTAATAAATGAATGAATAAGCCAGTGAGGAAGCAACAGGAGCTGCAGAACCAGATCTCTATTCTGCCATGTTAGGCAAGTTGCTCTATCTGTGAGGTAGGGACAACCAGCCATGGTTGTGATCATTTAAAAATGACAAAGCTGGAAAACTTCAGCAACTCTCATCCCACCCTCTGCCTCAGCAGAGTCTGTAGAGGCCACCCTATTCAGATGAAATGCTAAGACCCTGAAGGGCTTGCTCACCTAGAGACCTCCTTCAGAGTGTATTTTAAATGGCAAAGGACATCCCTCTGGCTCCCAAAAAGTTATAGTGCAGAAGTTTCCCACCACTTTCCAGCAATTTCCAGAGGTGGTGGGAGGGAGCTGACCCCTTCCAACCAAGCCTTCACAGGAATCAGACCAACTCTAGCTATCCAGCTATCTCTGCCAGCAGCTGTGTCAACTCCAGCCAGGACTGGGACCCGGATCTTCTTCGAGGCCTCAGATCCCCCTGCCCCCCCATACACACACAGTTCCTTGTCCCCATGGAAAAGAAAAGAGGGCAAGTCATTCTTTCTGTCATCACAATCCTAATCCTCCCCCAGGGCGTGCGTCCAGAAGTCACTGGTGTATATACAGAAAGATTTCACCAAAATATCAACCCGTCACAGTCTAGGAGCTCAGGAAGTAGTTTGGATTAAGTAGATGCTTGTCCTAACCCCATAGAAACGTCTCAAAATAAACAGTGTTTCATGAATTGTGCTAATCTAAATTCTGAAGCCAAGGGGTTTTGGAAACTTGGGGATAGGGTTTAAGAGGGTCAGAGGATAAAGAGCTCTGAGAATGCCGGGGGCAACTTCTCAAAGCCTAAGGGAGGTGGAGGACAGAGAATATGCATCTAATGGGCACCTTCTGCATGTATGCCTTTCCTTTATGTGCATTACCCTCTCTGACCTTCAATTTATCTGCGTTTCACTGTTGGGGAAACTGAGGTCCATAGAGGGACAGCCCCACTAGAAGGCAAAGACTCTAAACCAAAGCGTACGTCCCTCCAGGGTCTAAACCAAAGCGTACCCTCCAGGGTTCCTCTTTCTTTTGTTCATTCCTTTGTTTTTTTTCTAACACCGTATTCTGATATTTCTGTCTCCTTAGTACAGTTGACGATAAAAGGAATTCCACCAAAGCTAGGCTGTTTTTTTGTTTTGTTTTGTTTTAAAGAATTCCAGGTTGATGGATTACTGTTTCTAACCTCACAAAACTTTATGAGGTAGCCAGTACGGGGAAGCCGCTGTATCTTAGGGAATCTTTGACTCTTATCTATCCAATGACCTGTTCCAGTCTTGTTGAAGAAATGGGAGTTCAGAGAGGTTAACAACTCCCTCCAACTCACACAGTTTCTAAGTGATAGGGTCAGATTTGAACTCCAGGCTTTTAGAATACCCTAACATGGAATCTTTTGGCGTATTTTTTGATGACTCCAAGAATTTCATAGATGAATCAGACCAGATATTTTCGACATGAAATTTTGTTGCAGCATCCCAAAACAAAGACCTTGATGTGTCCTTGGCTCTCTCCAACTTGCACCCCCAGCTCCAGCACCTTCCTGCCTGACCTTGGAAAAATGCTTGGCTGGTCAGCATCAAGGTTGTTTTAGGCATTTTCATTGACTTGCTTGGGTCTTAAGCATTTAGGATTATTTTGTTTTGACCTCCAATCCAGTGGAGAAGTGTTTATTTTTCTTTCTAAATGGGAAACACTGATATGTGTGCAAGCTCCTTCCAAAAACTGTTTTCTTAAAACAAAGCAAAACAAAACAAAACAAAAATCCAACTTAACTTAGAACCTATGCAGATTTCCCAGGGGGGTCTGCCCAGGTCCTTTTAAGTCAACTTGTAAAATCAGAAGACAATGTGATGCCTGTTTCTAACAACAGAGGCAAGTCCCTGACCATATTTTCTTCTTCTTTCACCATGAATTTCATGGAAACTGCTTCTATGGGTCCAGGCCAGCACAGGATTTGTGTCTGCATGCTTAGCAGGTTCCCAGGGTAAAGGAAAGTAGGGTATGTAAAGTTTTCCTTCCTTGCATCAAAAGACCATTGTTGGTAAATAATTTCTTGTGGCACCAGCTATATGGGGAAGTCAGCTCCTTACTCCTGCCCACAGGACAAATTGAGTTCTTCCTTTCTTCATTCATGCCTGATGACATTTTAAATGTTTGTGGA